GGGGGGGGGGGGGGGGGGGGGTTGAAAAATCGATCGGGGACGGAGAAGGTCGTCGATCACGGAGAAACCATCATCATCGTCGATGCGGTCATCATCATCATCGAAACAACAAAAAAAAAAAGATCTGGATCGGGTGTGGTGGAATTCTTTGGAACCCCTTTGATGAGAAAACGATGATGACCCTGGATGTGCCTGGATCTCATTTATAATGGAATAAAAGAAAGAACGGCAGTGGATTTTCATTTTTTACACCTGACAGCTTGAGTACCGGGAGAGATTATAGTAGCGGGGGGATCATCGTGACGGATTATCCGGGGCCGAGATCATTTGTTCCGCTTTCGAAAGCGATAGAAACTCAATCCGTAAAAAAATGGCATCCATTACGTGGCGAGGGATCTCTGATTACATGGGTAACGAGCGGCTAATGACGTCCCCTGAGATCCATTAACCGAAGGCCACCGATTTTCGCAGTTCATCCATCGTCGAGGGGGAAGTCCCCCGACTATCCATCAAGCTCTCTTCCCCCCTTTCATTTTATTCTTTTACTTTTTTTTTTTAAGTACGAGGATGGGAGACGCGATCGGGTTGACGTCTCTGTCGTTCGGATTCGCCGGAAATTACCTCCCCGCGAATTCCCCGCTTTCGGCTCCCACGTCGCAGACAGAAAGCGCCAAAAAAAAAGCGAAACTTCGCAGCTGTTCCCGATGGAGGCAAGCCTGACAGTTTCAATATTGGCCCTATATCCTGGAAGAAGATGCCTCCCTCGAGAGGCCCCTGGTTAATGTGTTCCATTTGCCTCTCGTCGGAAATCGGGATGGAAAACCCGGGGGTGAAACCCAATATGCTATCCGGTGGGGTCTGTCAATCCTCCTTACGTCACACACCCTATCCGGTTTCAACACATACAACTTAATGACTCACAGTCCCTCTCTTTCTCTTCCCAACAACGGGCGTTGATGGATATCCAGCCCTTCGAGCGCCCCCCTCGCCCCCTTTGCCCCCCTTTTGCCCCCCTTTGCCCCCCTTGCCTCCCTTTACCCCCCTTTGCCCTCCTTTACCCCCCTTGCCCCCTGTCCCCTCATTCTTCTTGGTTTCTCTTATGCGAGGTCATGACCTTGATTGATTTCCATTACTGGGTGGGGGGTCAGGAACTCCCGGTGAAAAGGGACAAAGAACGCCCTCAATCGATAACCAGGTTCGCCATTATCCCGATCATTTTTCTCAAGGGGGAGATGTTATCGCACGAAGGAGGATTTTTCTCAAACCTTTCCTTTTCCCGTCTTTCTTTTTCTCTTTTTTGGCCTTTGTTAGGGGATGGGTCGAGGGGAGGGGTCGATCGTTTCCGTTTCCATCGAGGGAGATCGCGCGGATTCGTAGACTCGAGTGTCAATGCAAGTTTCATGGGGATGCCTTTGGTATCTGTGGACGGGATTCCTCGAAAGGTTGACGAGTGCCGACCTTCGGAATGGCGACAGATGACCTTCTTAAAGGCTCTCCTTCGATGAACCCCCGTCTTCATTTCTACATTTCTATCGATTCCGCTTCCCGGAACGGAATTCTCTCGAGATCGCCGAATTTCTCCAGCGATACGAAAAGGGCAAGGGGGAGAAGAGAGAAAGAAAAAAAAAAAACGATGGTCGGATATCGGGTCGGCCATGCAGGCTCATTTCACGGTGTGTCCATATATCAAGGGGTCATAATCAGGATTCACAGCAGATGACGACGATCTAGATTCTAGATGGTCTCGATGGTTAATGATTGCTCTGCTCAGGCTACACGCATGCCAGTCATTAATCACTTATCATCATTATTTACCCATGATTACCAGCTCATCTAGGCCTCAAGGCGTCTTTTTTTTTCCTTCCTTCCTTCCCCGCCAAGGATATACCATACAAGTGTAATATACCACTCTTGCTTATGTACAGAAGAGACCTAAGCGATATTCACATGTCCACAGACCCTAATGATCCTCTGGATATGAAGGATTTTCCCTCAGGTTAATGTGCATGTCCCGGGTTTCATTAATGATTCCCGATACGTACGAAGGGGTCATTATGCAGGACAGCTGTCCCTCAATTATTCAGAGTTCCGTCATGAAATCGCCCATACGAGCAGGTAAAAAAGAAACAAAGAGCCCAAAAATCCTCTGGAGCGGAAACGAGAGGCGAAAAACGTTTTTATAAATGATTGTCGAAGGTGACAATGAACGTGATGGGGGCCAGACAGCTCAATTACACGGGGCCTATTCGATGCCATGGCTTTTTCCCAGGTGGACCTTGGCCCGGATGAGGTTTTACATCCCGAGTTCATTGTCTCTCTTTCCTTCATTTCTTTTCTCTCTTCCCCCTCTCGCATCATTTGTCGTAGCAGGGCCACCATTACCTCCCGACTAATGATATTATCATATCAGATAACCACAGGTAATGATCCCCTCTTTGTTTTTTTAACCCGCCGAGATTTATGGGGAGCCAAATACGTGGTTCCTCCAAACACTCCATCCATCAACGGCAGAGCCCCGACCGTATTCATAGACGTCTCCTTTGATGATCATAATCACAGATACGCGCTCTCAAATATTAATTATCGCCGGATTCCTACAGCCCGACGGCCTTTCTCGTCTTCTTCTCTCGCACATCGAAGAGATGATAAAAAAAATGGAAGACAGAAAGGAATGCAGGGGAGCCGTGCGACACGACGAGAAGAGAAAGAGGCTCACGCGTAATCCCCGTCTAGGTCATTCATACGAGGACAAGAGTTGTGCGTGGGTCCCATTCCGTGCGGAGAGTGTGGATGAGGCCGTGTAAGCACCGCCTCCTCGAGGCCCCGCCCGAGTCCTGCTGATTGACGCCGTTGCCTAGCAACCGGAACGGGGAAGGGGGTGGTACGCTCGACGACCAATCCGAGCACCGAGCGGACACTGTTTGCCAGATCCCCTTCCCCGTCCCGAGTTTATATGAACAGTCTCGGGTTTGTTTGGAGTAATTTTAGACCGGGCCGGGCGATCCGAGCTGTGATCTGAGCCTTGGATGACGTTCAAAGGGAAAGGGACTGGTTTCCTCCTCGAAGAGAGATCTGATACCTCCCTTGCACACAGGGAGGTGGTGTGTGGCTGAGTCACAGTGCCTGTTTGATGGTGTAACCGATCCCCGAGAGCGAGTGGCGGCTCCTCGAGTGACATTTCCATCCCATCCCCCCCTCTTTCTCTCAGCTAAGATTGAAGCACCGGGAAGCAGCACGTTGTTCCATTACGGATCATCTGGAGCCGGGGTGGGGGGCATGGCAGGGGCGGCCACACCGGCTTCTCCACCCTTGGATCCCGGCTCTTGCTTCGGCATGGGGATGGGAATGGGGATGGGGATGGGGATGGGCATGGGAATGGGAATGGGCATGTGTCCCCCCACCCCCGGCACGACCGTGTCCACCCCCACCGCCACCCCGGCCACCCATTCCCCGGTGTTACCCCCGTTCGGATTCACCCAGGAACAAGTGGCGTGTGTCTGTGAAGTTCTCCAGCAGAGTGGGAACATCGAACGCCTGGGCCGGTTCCTCTGGTCCCTGCCGGCGTGCGAACAGCTCCACAAAAACGAATCCGTGCTCAAGGCCAAGGCCATCGTCGCCTTCCACCGCGGCAACTACAAGGAACTCTACAAGATCCTGGAGTCCAACTCGTTCTCGCCGCACAATCACGGCAAGATGCAGAGTCTCTGGTTGAAGGCCCATTACAACGAGGCGGAGAAGCTACGCGGTCGCCCGCTGGGGGCCGTCGGACGCTACCGGGTGCGACGAAAGTTCCCGCTTCCCAGGACCATCTGGGACGGCGAGGAGACGAGTTACTGCTTCCGGGAGAAGTCCCGGAACGTCCTACGGGAGTGGTACGCTCACAATCCGTATCCGTCGCCGAGGGAGAAGCGGGAATTGGCCGAAGCCACGGGGCTCACCACCACCCAAGTCTCCAATTGGTTCAAGAACCGACGCCAAAGGGACCGGGCAGCCGAGCAAAAGGACACGTGAGAAATTTTCCGTTCTTTTTCGAGCCGTCTGGTACTTCCCGTTCGGTTCCCCTTTTTTTCGAGCCGTTCCGAATCCCTCGAGGCAGGTTGAGGTTTTCCTAATCGCCACCTCCGTGATGCAATTTCTTAGTATGAGGAAAACCTGGCGGACTCGGACGAGAAGGTGCAGAGGAAGAGAAAGAGAACTCGACTGCAAAGCACCACTAAAAAGAAAAAAGAAAAAAAAAAGACACGTGACATTGGAGTAGGTCCTAAGGGTTAGCTCGCCGTGGCAGCATTCACAGATCCGAGAACCTACTAGATCTGATGCATGCATAAAACGTAGGAATGATCCCAGGGGTTCATCGGGATGACTTTTGCCTTTGGCCTTCGTGTCGATCCTCCCGAGGAGCCTGCGAGCATCGGAAGCCAGAACACCCGTTCACCCATTCACCCGTTGCACCCGTTGCACTTGTTCTCGCGGCTCGCGAACCTGTCATCCCCTTCCGGATGCGAGATGCGATAAGATCGCGGGGAAACTCGATCCTCGGAACCATAGTACGAGATCGCGGAGAAACGCGCACGAAGTGCTCGTCCCCGATCGGTTATCGAAACCAGGTCTAATTTGGTAAGCGGGTAATCCCGTGCATTGTTCCCGATCCCGGTCTATAGATACGAAGTGTGAGGAAGCTTTCACCCCTTTTTCGAACAATAATTTCGGGCTCGTCTCTTGTCAGGGCTTGACCTCGTGGCGCCAGGGGACGATCCCCTGGATTATCTCAGGTGGGGGACCAGAACGAGAAAAAAAAAAGGTGTAGGCATATGTCCTAATCCGAGGGAAAACAGCGTTGTTTTCTTTCACCGTAGATCCCGAGCCGTCGAAGACAGGTGAAACGACCTCGACCGAACGATAACGACCGTTCTAAACGGAGAAAAAAGCCACGAAATGGGAGTCCAGAGCCGTTTTACGACGATTCCGCATCCGTACGGAGAGGCCATAAGCGCGACGTGTAAAACAGTCACCGAGCCGATTTAGTGCATGTGTGCATGCGAACATCCAAAATAGAACAAATAGAAGCAGACGCGTTAATAGCTCCGTTTTTTTCTCACCGTATCCGGACCGAGTGACAGTAAACACGGCCTTTCGAAATAAAATCAGCGAAAAGTAATGTCTGAATTCGCGTTTTCGGGCGCTTTTGCAAGCTTGTTGTGTCCCTAACGACGACGAGCAATATTTACCGTTGAATTTCGACGAAGAATGCGTCGTGATTTTGCGAGCTTCTATCGTGCCGGAACTAGATTACAGGAAAGAAAATATTTTCGGACTCCACATTTCACATCTACGCCGGATCGGTCCGAGACTGACAACATTTTGCCGGCGAAGTCTTAAATTCGTAAAAAGTACTCGATACCGCTGAGGAACGAGCCGGCATCGTCGCGTGGACTCCGACCCCTTTTCCCCTCGTCTACCAGGCCTTTCCCGTCGGAGGCAGAGAGATTCGGGGGGGATGCATTTTCCTGAAGGTCTGCAAAGGACCGTCTTCCTTTCATTTCCGATACGTTTGGCGACTTGACACTCTCTCTTTCGATCGTCCCCGCACAGAAATTTTCAGTACTCACTGGGAAAATGACCCGTCGTGGAAGACCGGTATATATGGAGGAGGGACTCTCCGGAAATACATATATGCATGGGAACATCTAAATTGTAAAAACGTACCGAGTCCGAAATGAAGAGGCTCGAAACCGACGGCGAGGCGATGCGAGACAGCCAATACGAAAGCCTAACCTATGCAGAATCCCGATCCCAGATTTCATGAATAGAAAATGCGACTTACCTTCCGGTAAGTCCGACCGAACGGCAGGGTCTCGTGCTCTCGGGTTTCACTTTCTCTTGATAATGATAACCTCCCGGAGACAAACCCTCAGTCGAAGGGAGGAGAAGTGTGTGTCTCCAGAAAAAAAGCAGCAGTGTTATGGAGCCTTCGATACCATAAGGAGGCGTACGATTAGAAACCTTTTCTATTCTCTTTGCCTTCCTGTAATGACGTCGTTTGCACAACAACCTCGCACGATATCCCCGCTCTTTTTCGAACAAGGAACGGTCCTTCAACGCGTGATGGATTCGCAACGCTCCTTTCTATTTTCACCTCCTCCATCTGCCTTTTCCGAACTTGGGTTTTCTCGACGGCCGAGGCATGTCCCAGACGAGGCATGCTCGGCCGAGGCGTGCGAGACGGCCGAAAATTTCTCGCAACTCGAACCGTGAAATCGACCGAGGCAGTCGGAGGAATTCTTAATCGTCTCTTCACGAGGCAGGCGGATTTCTGATCGATGTGCGAATGCGAGCACGGCGGTTGAATAAAAAAAAATAAGTCGTCGGGTGACGTGGAGAAACAGTTATGCTGCCGCAGCTGAGCACACACCCTTTTCCCAGAAATTCCAGTCGGAAGTGGACATTTTCCCGGGGACCCATCACGCATGCACGGGATAAACTCCCTGTATATACGACAAGACACACACACACACACATGCACATCTCTATGAGAGAAAGAGAAGAGGGGAAGGGAAAAGGATAAACATTCCCGTCGTTGTTTGGACTCGACCCTGGGTCAACAGAATGCCCCTAGACCCAGACCCAGACCCCCC